GACAAGAAACAATGGATGGAAACTAATCAAGGAGGAGAAGCAACTTAGAACCAAGGAGAAACTTCCTAACAGTGAGGACAATTAACCAGTGGAACAGAAGTTGCGTCCAGAAGTTGTAGAGAAGTGATGGCGAACTTTTTAGACACTCAAGTGCCCAAACTATGCGCGTGCACATGGCCACACTTAAAGGTGTGCGCATGCATGAGCGAACCTACGCAAAGGTGCGCAAGCATGGACATGGATGCAGACATGTGCGCATGCGCAGCAGAGTCCCAAAAACCAGCTGGCCAGTGGGAGGAGGGGCATCTCAACACCAGCAACGTGGCAAGGTCTTTTTTGTGTGTGAGCTTCTGTTTCCCTAAAAACGACGAAACAGAAGCTCACGAAAAAAAAAAAAGACCTTGCCACGTTGCTGGTGTTGAGATGCCCCTCCTCCCACTGGCCAGCTGGTTTTTGGGACTCTGCTGCGCATGCGCACATGTCTGCATCCATGTCCATGCTTGCGCACCTTTGCGTAGGTTCGCTCATGCGTGCGCACACCTTTAAGTGTGGCCATGTGCATGCGCACAGTTTGGGCACTTGAGTGTCTAAAAAGTTCGCCATCACTTCTCTAAAACTTCTGGATGCAACTTCTGTTCCACTGGTTAATTGTCCTCACTGTTAGGAAGTTTCTCCTTGGTTCTAAGTTGCTTCTCCTCCTTGATTAGTTTCCATCCATTGTTTCTTGTCTTGCCTTCTGGTGCTTTGGCAAATAAGCTGACCCTTCTCTTCCTTGTGAAAGCCCTTGTCACCCCTAGTCCTAGTCTTCTAAGCACCCACGATTGACTCTTTTAAGGACTTGTTGACTATTTTGGAAACCGCCTACAGCCACTGTTCCTTGACCTCTTCCCAAGGAAGAGGAAGTAGTGCCAAAGTGGAAGCCTATACAGAAGAAGGATGTGGAAATTGTTCTGATTGGGACCACCAGAAGTTCTCTGTAGGAAGACCTCTACTCCAATAGAGCCTTCTGTTTCAAGCCCCTGACTCTTCAAGTGGCCTTCCACCCAGGGGACAAGACACAGCCAGAAGAACTAACAGATTAACAGAGATGGAAGGGACCTTGCAGGTCATCTAGACCAACCCCCGGCCCAAGCAGGAGATCCTACATCTACCTAGGATCGAAAACACAGCTTAGTATCATCATCATCTTTTAAGGACCCCATTATCTGTTGTGGGGTAGATTATGGGCAACAGAGTCTTTACTGGCTGCTAGCTGCCCTTCGTCTTTATTCCAGGATCTTTGCAAGCCTCCCAATTTAACGGCGGTGCCATCCTGCAGCCGTGACTCCAATACAGATAGTCCTCAGCTTGCGACCACAATTGAGCCCCAGATTCCTGCCCTTCAGCGAAACATTTATTGTGAGTTTCCCTCATTTTGCAACTTTTCTTGCCACAAGCAGTTAAGTGAATCACTACGGTGGTTAAATTAATCGAAAGGTTGCTAAGTGAACCTAGCATCTCCATTGACTCAGCTTCTCGGAGGGAGGTCGCAAAAGGGGGATTCCCCCAGGGACACCGCAACCGCCATAAATATGAGAAGTAGAGAAGAGAAGTAGCGACAGAGGGAAGAAAGGAGGTAGGGAGGCGGAGGAGAGAGGGAGAAGAAAGTGATGGATAAGGTACAAATATGGTGTATGGAGAGCAGAAGAGCCAATAATCATTTTTTGGGAGTTGATGGCAAGGCGAAATGATGTCAACATTTAATAACACAATACGATGTTGGCTATGTAATAGTATACATGTGGTTCGTGACCCGTCAAAACCGCGGTCCACTAAAGCGCGCCCGATTAAAGCGCGTACCTGACGTCATCAGCAGCGCAACGAAAA